AAAACGTCCTCATGGATTGCTCCTTTTCTTCGTACAATCATGGTCACTACACACGTGCCAACTCTTACTCTGAAAGTCCTCCCCCTGAGAAAGTTATTCACCCAGGTCCTAACCCTCCCTGTAATGCCGACTGTGGTCCAAGTATCTGTGGTTGACTGAGTCGAAAGCCTTACTGAAGTCTATGTAACAGACTTCCACAGTAGGGCCTTCGTCGACTCTCCTCATCACATCGTCTAGGAACAGCACCAAATTTGTCAAACAGGACTTGCCTGTCACAAATCCATGCTGCGCGGGTGTTATTATGTTGTGTACAACAAGATGCTCACAATTTTCGCCTCAAGATGCGTTCTAGACATTTGCATAGGACGCATTTTAGGCTAACTGGCCTATAGTTCGTGGGGTTTTGCCTGGGGCCACCCTTATATATACCCATCACTGTTGCCAGGGCTACTCCCGCATGTCCACACGAACAACGTGCTCCCAAAACTATTCACGAAACTGCTGAAAAAACAAGGAACTGGACTCGCGATTAACGAGAGCCATTTTTCGACCTGTCTCTAACGAATGAGGCGAGGAGATATCCTTGCTTGTTTTCCTCCCTTTCAGCATACCCCCAAGGAGACAACGTTCTGGACACGGGGTTGAAGTGTGAGGATCACAAATACTCAATCAACCGTACGCAGTGTTGGAAGCCAATCCCATCCGCCGACAACACAACGAACTGGACGCTCGATTGGCAAGAGCCATATTCGTCCTGTGCAACTGAACTGAACTGAACTGAACTGAATCGACCTGATGAGTCATTGTTTTAATTCGTCGGAGGACATTTCCAAGGATGTCGCTTCCCAGCAAGAGACCAAGGCAGATTTCTGAGGAAGTGGTAGAGCCGTCTCCCGTGATTCACATAAGGGGTTTACCAGAACACACATTGGAGATAGATCTTCTTAAAATTTTTGAGCAGAATGGTTCTGTCCGTGATGTAGCTATGATGCCGCAAAAAAGACAGGCGCTAGTCGAATTCCTGGATATCGACGTGGCCCGGCGAGTCGTTGAGCGGTGAGATTACAAAGATTCTTGTGCTTATATTCATCACTTTGTGGCTATGATTAAACAGAAGTCATTTATTTTTATACAGCCAACTTTTCGTCTTGTTAAATGAAGTATAGGTCGTTTATAAATGAACTGTAGTCAATTATGATTAATTAGTTAGATCTATAGCACTAATTATAATTGGTACGTTTTAAAAGAGCTTTTAAATATTTACTACCGGTTTGTAGGCAGGCATGGTGCTACCGCAACTACAATAACTGAAAGGGGTCAGGTGGATTGGAGTACAGAATAGGGTGAAAAGAGGGTGAAACAGTTGAACACGGGAAAGCGGAAGATATCTGGAATAACAGAAAAATTTTGTGTTTCACTGTACGCCTTTTGAAATATGTTTGCGTGGTTGTTTTTTACGGGGCACGGGATTTCGACCGGCAGACCGTACATCATACGCGTCACTGACCATTCTGGGCCATGTCTCTCGTCTCTATCCAATGACTATCCTCATCCCTTGGTCCCCAACCTAGAAGGCGGGATGCACCGACCGAAGCCAAAGCTGAAGCCAGCTTCTTCATGCCTCTAGCCCATGTCATGGTCTGACCGCCGCGCCGCATCTTCCAGCTTTCCCAGCACGTGAGGAGGGCACAGAAAGGTAGTCTATGGGCAGGCCCACGCAATACGTGATCAAACCACCGGAGACGGTGTAAAGCGATTGCTTCTGTTAGAGAACGACTATCTGCACCCAACACACGACGACGAACCTTTACTCATTACTCATCCGGTGTTCCCACCAGACAGGAGCAGTGCTTCGGAGACATCAGTAGTCGAATACAGAAAGTCGATTAGCGTCCTTTTATAAAAGGGCTCCATTAATTTCGTAAGAATGCGGATTGGATTTTGATGCGATGTAGTCATCAAAGTTGGCCTGTGCTAACAGGTGCACCTGTTGTCATGTTATCAGTAAAACGCTTTTATCAGAATAATCGAACGTGTTCCTTCTTATTGATTGATAGCCTTACGAAGCTAGAATAGCAGTATATCGTTTCCTGTGGTATATTGATTCATCGCATTCAATCTTTTTCACTACAATGAAGTTTTCTATTTAAACCGTCTAACAGAAAAGTTTTGTAGGCTTCATATATGCATAGGAGCTTAAAACCGTTTTACCGGCTTGAAGATGTTCCTGTCGGAACTCTTTTTGGACTTGCAGGTTGATGTATGCGCAATGGGGAGTTATGGTTTTCTGGGTCTGATAGAAGAGCGAGTGGACGTACTTTTGATGTGAAATTCCACGCATTCTCTTTCAGCGCCGATAAAGAGCATTTCCGTGTTGGCAATCATGAAATTCAAATTACCTACAGCAAATCGAAGCGCATTCTACAGCGAGCCGGTGATAAGAGTGGTTCTTCAGATGAAGCGGGGGAGTCATCGGAAAACCACGTACTACTGTATACTGTTTATAATGCACAATATCCCATAACAATTGATCTAATTCATCAAATAAGTTCTCCCTTCGGTAAAATTCTTCGCATCGTTATCTTCCGCAAATCACAAGTCCAAGTAAGTTCAGTGTTGGATATTACATTCTGTAGGCTATGGTTGAATTTAGAAGTGTCAATGAAGCCCGTCTGGCGAAAAGGAACTTGAGCGGGGCTGATATCTATACCGGTTGTTGCACACTTAAAGTGGATTATGCAAGACCAGTAAAACTCACCGTCACCAAGAACGATAAGGATTCTTGGGATTTTGAGATGGCAACGCAGCACAGCTGGGATGGATCTACTGCCAACTCAGCCGCAACTCCTGCTTCATTGTTAGGTAAGATAACGAGATTTACTAAGATCTATAGCTCTCCAAGGTCGTTATGATGGAAATCCCTGTTTTCAACCTGATTCCAATTATGTAGATAACCCTTCGCTTTATCCACAAGCTCAATTACTTCAGAACCGCTCACTCATGTATTCACCCCAAGCATTCAACGGTACAGGACAACCGGCACGTTCCAACACTTCAGTGGCGATGATATACAACTTGAATATGGAACACGTGAACTGTGACAGGTATGTTCCCTTTACTGACTACGAGTATTTGGGCTAGTCGAATTCGAACACTGAAAATTCTTGCATCCACCTGTTGCCTTTGAGTTACATCTCGTGGATAGAAACGATTAGTGAAGTAGCAGAACGGGAGGCACTTGTTTTCAGAAAGTGAACAAGTTTTCTGTTGCACGTCATTCCATAATGAACAACTGAAGTAAAATGGAAATCAACGATTAAAGGATCGAGATTCGAGGAGCTGAACCACCTGAAGCTGTAGGCGGTCCTGACGAATTCCGGGTGTTACAATCGTGAACCCATGGAGCGCTTTTCTTTTTATAGGGATAAGTGTACCGTGATTTGTTTGGCAGTCTGAACTCAGACGTGTGTGAAGTACAATATACTAAACAAAAGACGGGCGTTCGCACAAAAGCAGACCAAAGAACGTAATGACGGGCGTACCATTGATAAAGCTGCAGGGCCACAAAGATCGGGTACGGAAGCGTGAAAACAAAGCAACCAGCCAGATGGCCTTGGTGCGGTAAAACGATATGCTGCAGGAGTCACAGTACATTCAGAGAGAAGGTACTTCATATCACCACAGGGTTATTCTCTTTTGCGTTGGCCCCAAGCTCTCGGCCTCTTCTGTTTTCGGTCCATCTTCAGTGAAAAAGCGAAGAGCCGTCTCAACTAAGCACGAGCCAACAATAAACTGCTGGGAAAGGTCTTCGGTATCTTCGCATTGCTGGAGTGGTGAATGGTGTGGTGTACCGTATTCTTTCTTACTGAGTTCTCTTATGATTGTGTTCCTTCCGAGGTTTTGATGACCTGAGAGGATAAAATAAAAGCCAAAGCTGCCCTTGGTGAGGATGATCCAATAAACAAAAATGAACAATAGGCAGGTTTTTATTTTGTTACATAAAGGAAAGTTGTAACCTGTTGGAGAAAATCGGGAAAAGGAAAGGATTTTTTATACTCAGGGATACATGAAAAAGATATCAGTCTAATTGGGAGTCCGTATGCTAATTGAATTACGAAACCCTTAGACAGTAAAACGTACAGAGCTGTCCTCTGACTTGGTTCAACAGGGTAAGGATCGAGAGGTGCCTGCTTCAGGGTTGTCGCCCGTGGTTACCGCGGTTGAAGAAGCGGGATTTTGGGTGGTCCAGCTCCTGACCCTCACTGGAGAAGTAATAGAGCAAGTCGACAAGTGGGCGGCTATTTCACCTAGCGGACGCGTCACGAATGAAGTGTTAGCTCGCATACAGAAGGCTCGATTGGCGTTTGCCAACTTAGGACATCTATGGCGGCGACAGGTCCTCCTGTGAAAACCACGAGTAATTAGTTTAATCAACATGGCCCCTAAACTTCTCGCCGGTATCATACTCCGTCGATTGTCTGCCGCACGTAAACGATGTAAGCGTGAAAACCAGGCTGTTTTTGGATCCGTTCGAGATTGTATCGACCACATCTTCACTCTTCGCCAAATTCTAGAACAGACACTCCTTTCGTAGACCCACCATCTCTATCTTCCTAGATCTGAAAGCGGCTTTCGACTCAGTCAACCACTATAAACTGTGGCGCTGCCTAGCTCTAAAGGGTGTGCCCGAAAAGTTTATTGCACTAATGCAATCGCTCTATACTAATTGCCGAAGTGGAGTCCAAGCTTCCAGCACTTTTCGCCCGGGTTCACCACGGAAAGTGGCGTTCGTCAGGGTTGCCCTCTCTCTCCTTTTTTTATTTAACTTCGTTATAGATTTGATTATGGAAACAGCCCCATCCCAGTGTGAGGATAGTGGCATTAATCTACTCCGGGGTGGCAGGCTGTCTGATCTATAGTATGCAGACTACATTATGCTGCTAGGTAAAGATCCAGGTAGGCTGCAAGCTTTTCTGGACGGCTTGAATGCTAGTCTGGCCATGTTCGGTATGCGCTTTGCACCTTCAAAGTGTAAAAGGTTACTTCAAGACTGGGTTGGTCCAACACCCAGCCTCACTCTTGCTGGAGAAGTAATAGAGCAAGTGTATAAGTTTTGTTATTTGGGCAGCTACGTCACCTGGCAGACGCATCACAGATGA